TTTCGATAGTCCAATAAAGAGCGACGTCCTCAGAGTCGTTCATTCAATATTTCATACCAACGATCACGAAACCGAAGAAACACCAATATCACCATATCAATTACATTAAATCATATCAAATTCCACGATATATCGTATCTTGAATGCTTGAATCATAAACTAATCAAAACTTTACCATCACTGATCAAACAGATCAAATCTTGATAAAACTAATCAAGATGTACGTCAAAGCTAAAATCGCAACTGCTATCCTGCATAAGAGCGATCTTTTAATTCACTATGAGAACTCATGGGTTAATTCCAGTACCACAATTGCTTTCAGCGATCCTATCGATGACAATATTCAATTTCAGTTTTTCATTTATCCAAGAAAATTTCCGACGTCTTTCCGGATTCTTCACTGCTGATTATAGTCGGATTAATACTTGGCGTTGGATTGAAGTTATACCACGTGAATGATAGTGTTTTTTCGTTATCGTCGAATGTTTTCTTCCTTTATCTATTACCTCCGATCATCTTTGATGCAGGTGAAACGTTTGAAATAATTTCAATCGCTGACGATTTCTTGACTGAATCATTAATTCGATTCGCTTCATTCCATCTCTGTTACCAATGAACTGTAACCTCAGATTAAATACTAATGGTGCTTATGAATTCTTGAAATAAAGATCTCATAATCTCAGACATTTCATTCTCATGTTGATACATCAACGTGATCTATTGTGATCTACAATGAATCTCTTAACCTAGAACATCTCGCGCTTATGCTGATAATGAATTTTAGGATATTTTATGCCGAATCGTGCACTCTTCGAAAATTTCGGCTCAGTACTGAGCTTCGCTGTGTTTGGCACAGTATGGAATACATTCGCAATTGGTAAGTGCCTTTCTTTAGAGTCAATTTCGTTACTTTTGGTGCTACTTCAGCTATTTTTCGTGTTTGCACTATTTCAGTCTTTTCATGTGTTGTGCCAGAAAAATGAGCAATCTCTTCACCTCTCACTTAATAAATATTTCCATCATAAAGGATCTACGAAAGTTTCATGCAATAAAGGCACCAACCTAGGTTCATCTAATATCAGATGAAAACTCCTTTAAATCAGTGCATTAATTGAAAAGAGTTTGTTCTCTTGAATGAATTTTCTCTCCATTACAATATATAACAATTTCATTATTGTAGTGTTTGCTTCCAGGTGCATCGTTGTATGCGTTAGGAGAGTTCGGCATATTTTCGGTGCAATTCTCAATATTCGAAATCTTTTTGTTCTCGGCGCTTATCAGTGCAGTGGATCCAGTGGCTGTTATTGCCGTCTTTGAAGAGATACACGTTAATGAAGTACTTTTTATTACTGTGTTTGGCGAGGCGCTATTTAACGATGGTATTACTGTGGTAAGTCATTGCAATTGTTATTCTTGTATCGCAATGATTACAGTTTAGTAATGAATTAATTGTGGCTCGAATTGGAGCGTTTAAAAACATCGATAAGAAGGCGATTGAAATTAAGTTATTGTTATTATTGTTGAGAGAACCATTCGCATTACGATTTGTGACAATTATTCATACTTAATGATTCCGGCACACACACACCCTTCATCTCAATATCTATAAGAATTCTTGTTCGAGAGTTATTGGATGAGAGCGGAAAATTGAGGAAATTGATGAAATTTGAAGGTGTTGTATCAAATGTTCAAAAAGTTCACGCTGATCGGACCAGATAAGCTGATCCCAATTGATTACGTGGCTGGCGGTGTGAGTTTTTTCGTGATCGGTTTAGGTGGTGCTGCTATCGGATTGGTGTACGCTGTAATTGTCAGTTTTATCACAAAGTGCGTTTGATGTGCCAGTTGATCTGGCTGGCATTCTTTCATATTGTATCCGGCAAAGTAACTCGTTCAGAAAATATTGTTGCCCGAGCTGACTGAACTCGTTTCAGAATGAAATTTCTCAACTGGATACCATTTTTACTTATCCTTAAGACAATAACCAGAAAAGTTATAGCTCTAATCTTCGGAAGTAACTAGTTTCCCGAGAAATCCTGTAAGTCATTTTGTCTTTAAACGGTTAATGTCCTCTCGTTGCAGGTACACCGAAAAAGTGAAAGTGCTCAATCCCATATTTATATTCGTAATACCCTATTTGGCGTATTTAACTGCTGAGACATTCGGTCTATCATCGATTATGGCGTATGTTCATCAGAATCTCTGCATTCAGAAAATCATATATTTTGTCAAGCGATTTTGCTTTGTTGAGGAGATCTAGCTATTTTATTAAAGCTATCTCAACTACCTCTGAATTGCTCATTGTTATGCATTTGCTCACTATAAATCAGTAGATGCAATGCAATAGCATAGAAAATAGCTCAGTACTGAATTCTTCCTCTTCTCATTCACTCATCTAATTTCACATGATTCCTTTTCGATGCACTCGAATCCAACCCATGAGATGAGCAAAATTTAGAATTGTTGCGTGTGGAATGGCGATGAAACAATACGTGAAAGGTAATATCTCGAATACGGCAATCGCATCCGTCAAATACTTCACAAAGATGCTGGCACAAGCATGTGANGCATTTATCGCGCTCACAATTGTCTTTTGCATGATCTATCGATCGATCGGTACTGAAATCTTCTTCATCTTCCTGATCACTCATTCCTTTTTTTTGCAAATCTTTCTCGATATCATCAGTCAAGTCTTCTAGGACTAGACATTGTTGCGGCATAAAATATCACACAAACTCAAAAATAGAATATGAATACTTAATCCTCTGTTATGAGTTCATCCTGAACGCAAAGCATCTAAATAATTTTTTTTTTCGAATTTCATATTGTATCATGGAAAATGAAACAGGAACGTGAAAGCAATGATTTCTTGTTGTTAGGAAAACTTTGTGCATTTTCATATAGAATGACGGTGATTGTCTTGAAAATTTAGGTGTGGTAGTGCAATGCGCAATTCTGAATCGTTTCCGAAAGANTGATGGCATATGGTGGGTTACGAGGTGCGATTGCATTCGGTCTAGTTGTGTCGATGCCCGAGCAGATTCAAGCAAAAAGCATGTTCATCACTGCTTGCATTGCGGTCATCTATTTCACCGTATTCTTACAGGTCATTTTTTTACTTAAGCACATAACTTAAATATTTTTTTAACTTAAATATTCAGAATCGGTCGTCGTTATCATCTAGATCAGTGGGTTGAAATCAGGAAGTGAAATTACCCACTGCGGATAATTTGTAGGTATCAAGGGATGTCATTAACTCGTGTCATTAGCTCGTCCGCACCTAACAGGGTTTCCATTCGTTTTAACAGGGTTTTCATTCTTTTCCTTGTTGCTATAATCACTCTCATAACTTTTATCACCAAATGTGTTCTCTTTTGCTAAATTCTCATTCATTTCACTCAACAATTAAAGTCAAATTCTCATTCTATCACATACACTCTATAATTGATCATTTGACTCTCGAATGTTGTTGAGCAATAGTATTTGATTGCTGTATTGTCGATTTCGGCTGTATCCAGTAAATAGTATGTGCTACAGAATAAGAAATTGATTCGTACTGTGAAGTGAAATGAAACGAAGTGAATGAGAAAAACTCATCAAGAGAACGATATTCGCATGTGATAGCTATGAGAGTGAATAGAACACGTCTGAAAAGAATGAGAATCCATCTGAATCAGTCTGAAGTGAGTGTGTCACAGACAATTGCTTTTCATGCAATCATAATCGATTGCAATCATGAACAACGCAACGGTCTACGACGAATGGGTAATGGAACACCTGAACGTGAGAAGCACTGATCTAGATTCTAGAGTAATCCTATAAGCAATGGAGAAATGCAATTCAGGGTATGACAATCAAACCGTTGGTGAATTATTTGAAGATCGAACGTGAAGACCAAGAAGGACCAACACTGATTCAAAGCGTTTACATGCGAGTTAGTTCACAAAGCATGATCATTTCATTTGAATGCATATAACCTCTGCGGGAAAATCTAAAACGATTGTGGAAGCTGACTACAAATTTGAAGCATAACGTCAAAAATTTTGATTTTGAAGCGAATCTTCTGAGTGGTTCACAGAAAGATTGTGAAATGATACGAAACTATTTGTTTGCAGTATTTCGATTATACAATGGCCGGTGTAGAGGATATTGCTGGACAAAAGGGACACAATTCAATTCGTGACACGTACGGTTCACATTCCATTTGCATTCATCGCCATCCAAAAAAAAATTCCATGTAATACACAGTAAGCAATGAGGACGAAATCTAATGCATCAATCATGCGTTGAATTATTGAAGAAAGCCTTTTCACTTGAGTCAATGAAATAATTCTTTGTTGAGAGACAAAATCGTGAAGTCTTTTCTCATTCTTAACCAGTATTGCTCCTTATCCTTATCATACGCTCTGCACTAACCGTGATGGGCTCCATCATTGATCAGGAGCTACTGATCAAAAGATCTCATTGAGGGAATTCACTAAGTTCAGCTGGGCTAAAATTTTGTTGACCGCATTCGATTAGGCCATATTTGAATTACCCGGATCCAGATAATCCACATAATATCATACCTGGATAATCCAGTTATGATATGATATGTGATATAATATCTCATAAATAGGCAAAATAAACTGAAAATTCAGTTTCGAACGTCTGAATGCGACGATTCTACGACCACTATTAATGCGTAATGAGAAGAGGCGTCGATTCGATGCGTCCAAAATAGTTCGAGCCTACACCAAGATCACTCTCAAAGAGGCAATGGAGGTTGCGAGTAATGGAAAACGATCACGGGAGGAGATTGAACCAAGACGAGTGTAAGACACCATCAATTACCTCATACTGCTCATACAAAGTCGTCAGTCTCCGTGTTAATGCGCTAAGAGCTGAAATACTTCAAAATACAATTCAAATTCAAAAAAAA